GATTCATCCCAGGGATGCAAGGATGGTACAACATTTGAAAATCCATCAACATCATCCACCACATAAACAAAAAGGACAAAAACCACATGATCATCTCCATAGATACTGAAAAAGCATTTGACAAAATTCAACATCCATTCATGAAAAAACTCTCAACAAAATGGGTATAGAGGGCAAGTACCTCAACATAATAAAGGCTATATCCAGCCAATATCATACTTAACAGCAAGAAGCTGTAAGCTTTTCCTATAAGATCAGGAACAAGACAAGGATGCCCTCTCTCCCTGCTTCTATTCAACATAGTACTGGAGGTCCCAGCCACAGCAATTAGGCAACACAAAGAAATAAAAGGCATCAAGATTGGTAAGGAAGAAAACTGGGTTTAGGTTTTCTTCTGAGTCACTTACCTCTTTCTCCCTTTCATAGTCTTCTTTGTCATATTCATCCTCTTCATTTTGTGTCTGCAGTGCTACACTGCCAAAGTCTAATGACATGGTCCTCCTGCAGGACGAGAAAGATGTTCGGTTTCTAAATACCCCATATAATCTTCCCAGACCAAACTACACAAGGGGTGCTATACACAAAAAGACAACAGCAGCCAGGAAGAAGATACATGTCACTCACATGTGACACATGGTTAGTATTCCAAATATAAAGAGAGTTTTTAGAAATTGCAATTCACACAAAATAGAAAAAATGCAAAAAGCTAATAAACTTACGACTAGACCTTTCTAGGGATCTGAGAAATATAACTTAAACAGTAAGATTTTTATCCATAAAAAAATAAGGTAATCATAATAAACTAAAAATGTACCAAAACATAAAATTGTTCAGATTACGCTGTTTCCAATTTGATGTATTAAATATGGCAAAGGTAGTATCCTCCACAATTCACTTCATTCTTTGATGACCACACAGCCAAACATCACGTTTTACACAGACAGCTACTAAATCCCGAGTTAACGAGGGCTACCCAAAAATCATTTCCGTCCTGGTAAACTCCATAGCACACAATAAAAATACACATGCTAAATGTCTGCTCTTAAGCTGGATAAAATCAGGGTTCTGGCAAAAAATACTCAGGAGAAACACAAGTGAAGGCTGTGAAGCTACACCACTGTGGGGTTTCAGTTCCAAAAACAACAGCGAGAGTCCCCTGGGGGTGCAACTGCTGGGGCAGAAGCACCAGCGGGAGATGGCTTTCAAGCACTTACCGTCAAAAGGCTGCTGATGAGTTGAATTATACTTAGGGATCCTGACATTAGACAGAAACCACCCCAACTTCAAAGCTCTAAACAATCTGGACAAAAACACTGGCAGACATCACCGATTACCCAGCCTAAAACTGCCCTCCATTCAGCCCACAACTCTACATGCCAATGAAATGCACTTTGATGTGAGCCAGAGCCCCTACTCATTGACTACAGAGTTTTCCAGGCTATAAGGTCATTAAATTGGAAGTGAAATAGGAAGGAAAAACCCAGCAACCCAAATGCATTTTACCATAAAAAACTTAGCTTCCTCATGTTAACGGTTGAAAACTACTTTAAGTCAAGGGTTCTATAGCAAAAGATACTCCATTTCATCAGATCTAAGTCATCCTTGACTATATGACATAGTACCACTTGTACCACTAAGAAAAAGATTTGGCCAATTACATTATAACACATCATTCATTTTAAAATGCAGCTGGATTTTGTAGATGTTAAAATGTGAAAAGAAAGTGTGCACTTTAGATCAAATATGTATTACAGATTAATGTAAGTATGAATTTCAATGTCCCAAATCCCTATAGTCTGAGTTTTGTTTGTTTTTCAAGGACTAAATTATATTTCTTGGCCAAACTCCAATCTGCAGTCTATCTTCTTTATCCCTTTCTCTCTGGTCCCTACATGCAGCTCATCCCTTTCAATTCTATCAACTCAAACCCCTCATATCATTGTAAATTCTTCCATCCTCTTAGGCCAGACCTGCTCCTTTCTATTCTTGTGCCAGGGCAAAAAGGAGAAAGAACATGTATACTCTTTCACCAGAAGAAAAAAATATGAGCTTGGGGAACCTAAATCTTGTCCCCACCCAGCAGCTCCAAGAACCCTCTTGTACATACCAGCATAACATGGAGATCTGACTGACAGTGGGCCTATAATACAGATAAAGAGGTGAGGGAAAAACACTCATACAAGCTCATGTCCCTAGGGTTTTTTTCACTATTGAAAGTGGACATCAAGTCTGCAGAATAGATAAGGAAAATACTAGCCCATTTAAATTCTGGCTCTTTAAAAGAAATTAAATTAAACTGGACCTTAAAGACATCACTGAATTCTCCAGGCAGAATTATTTTTCTTGCTTCTGATTGTTAAAATATTCTCCTCTTCCTCTGCATTTTGTAGTTAAAGCCAGAATATGGAATTTGGGTTAATTTCTCCTTTATTATGTAAAAGAAGGGAGGGTTTTTTCCGATCCTTCACCAATCTTCCATCAATTCTTAGTGAATATTGAAAAAGAACATTAAGATTTTTATAAGAGCCTATTGCTACATACAACTATTTTAAATAAAATGCTGTTTTTCTCACACAATAGTAAATTCCACACTCATTTTTAAGCGACGAGAATTAAAAGACCAGTTTTTTTTAATGGCATTTCAAATCCAAACCATGTCATTAAAGAAAATGTCTAAAAACCAAAGACTCAAATCTCTATCCACTGGGGAAGAAAAGGTACAAGTAAGATTTCTTTCTGAAAAGTGCAAACAATCAGAGACTTTAAGAAACTATTTTAAGCATAAAAGGAAATTTCATACTTATGTGGTTAAGAAAAAAAGACTAAAAAGGTAATAGAATTTTAATCATAGTTTAAAGTAAATGCTAATGTTTTTCTTCAACTTACTAATCACTACCAATTATAGTACCACTGCTGTCAGAGACTACCAATATTCAGAGAGACTGCTTTAGGGAAAAAAAAAAAGTAAGACAGCAAACCCAGAAGCCAAAAAGGAAAAATTAACAGAAACTTAACTACAGAAAAATAAAATTTGTATATGACAAAAGACATTAGCAAGTCACATTTATGTATGGAAAAATACATCACTAATAAAGTCAAAAGATAAAATAATGAGAAAAAGACAAAAAAATTTTAAATGGACTGCTGTGACAATTTATTAAAAAAAGAAATGCAAATATTCAATTAACTTGAAAAGATGATTAAGCTCATGAAGAATTCAGTGTACCATTTAAACAATGAGATATGATTTTCAATCACTAAACTGAAAAAACTAGATAATGCCTTAGTGGTGGCTATTTTATAGGAAACAGGTATCCTCATGAATTGCTGATTAAACTATGATCTATGAAAATCATCTTGAAAACGACCAATATTGATATACTGAAAAAAGATTTGCCCTAGTAGAAGTACTTTTGAATAAATTTGGCAATACTATGCCACTAATAAAAATAAAATATTTTTGTATTTATTGAGTGATGATTTAAAAAAATCAAGATGCAGAAAAAGTGTACAATATTTTTTTAATAGCAAGTTGGTTAATACCTTCTTCCTAGATAGATAATTTAGCATCTGCTGTGTGACAGATTATACCCTAGATGTATCTAAGACATGGTACCAGCCATGGGGAGCTTACAGTTCCTTAATGTAAATAGTTACAATGACACACATTGTGATAAATTCTGTAATAGAGGAAAATATAAAACACACATTAATTTAGCTTAAGAAAGGAAGGCTGAGAGTTTCACAAAAAGAAAAACTTCAGATTAGAAATAAATTTTAAAGGACATAATATGGCTGTTAAGTGGTTAAGAATGAGGGCATTCATTCAGACAACCTGGGCTCAATTCTCCTATTTATCAGCTGTGTAATCCTGAGCAAACTGTTTCTATTTCTTTGTTAATAAAATGAGGGTAAAAATAGTACATAGGGCAAAGACTGGTTATGAGGATAATGCATATAAAGTGCTTAGTACTGCATACCAATCAATACGTTTTAGTTCTACTCTTACGACACTATTACTTATGAATAAGAATAAGCCAACTACAAAAGAGGTTAAAGGAAAAAGAGCATGCAGTGTATCTGAGAAAAGTTGAATGTAGCTTGTGGGAAACCTTACTTGAAATAATGCAACCTTTTCTGGGATGAAAATGCCAATCCCATACCCCCATGGAATTAGTCACTCTTTAACAATTTCAAACCATATCTCTTATACTTTTCCATGGCATTCACATATCTAGGGAGTACACATAAATTGTCACCCATTGTGAAGGATATGCCTAAATTCATCATAAATCAGACGCAAACTCATGGCTATAAGATACAAGAGGTTAAGTGCAATAAGGGGAATTGTAAGTGCCCTAAGAGGAAATTCTACATACTTGCTTACATGCCAGCTTCCCTTCTAGAATGGAAATGGCCGGGGCACACTAGCCTGTTTAAGACTTGCACTGCCAGGTTTAGGAGGGCTATTGAATCATTCAGCAATTACTTACCAATCACTGTTCAAGATCACAAAGTTGAACAGGACTTGGAGCGAAAGAAAACAGACCTATTAAAAATGATGAAAATAATCTGTGTTAAGTGCTAATGACAGCAGCTTGTACAGATCGATTCAGGGTACCCAGAAGATGCACCCACAGAATAAACGAAAAGAATAAATCAATGGTCTTATCGAGGAACTCGGTTTGGCGCTAACTACCGCACAACAAATAGGTACCGCGAGACAGAAGGTGCACGGAGCCTAGGATGGGTTGGGCTGCTGGCTTTGGCTGCCAGCGTCACATAGCACTCGGTCAACACGTGCACAGAGCACCCACTGTGAGCCAGGCGCGATGCCAGGGTGCCCACAGCGGGGGTCACCAGTATAGTCTTAGGGCTAGCCTAGCAGACTGGACAAGGTGAGGAGGGCTTCCCAGATTTCACGTCTATGCAGGATCTTGGGGTCTCGATGACATTTCAAAGTCAAGGGCTGAGTCCCGCAACCCGTAGGTTTGGGAAGGGGGCGGGTCTGCCCTCTCGGAAGCCTCAACCAAAATCCCCAGGACCCTGCACCTCCTCCAATTCCAGACCCAAGCCCCGCCACAAAGCCAAAACTCACCGGAGGCCAGGGATGCTGTCACCGTGGGACAACCTTAGTCCCTGCCGAAAACCTATTTCTAGCAATCCCCCTTACCCTGGCCCTAATTAGCCAGCTCCTTCCTAGTCACAACCAAACCCAGGGAGCCGAGGCCATTGAGGGGCAGCCGCCTCCTTCAATCACCCGCTAGAAGGTGCCTGGTGGGCGGGACCATTCCCGCTGAGGCGGGGCGTGGAGCGGAAGTCTCCGCCTTTCCCAAACTAGGTTGAGAAGTCCGCCTGCAGTTGAAAAGGCAAAGCTGTTTGAAAGCGGGCGCCAGAGGTGGCGGGAAGCTCCTCCTGTGCGTTCATTGGTGGATTCGCGAGCCAATTATGAAAGTGTTAACTCTGGAGAGGGCGGGCTTATCGGTTGCCTAGAGATGCCCAGGCGCCTGGCCTTCCGCCTTCAGCGAGGAGGAATGGGCCTGCCCGTCATCCCCGCCCTTTGCGGCTTCCCTGACCACCTGGTGCAGGAGACTGGTGAGGTGACTTGATCTCCCCGCGCTGCCCTCTCCTAAACCCGAGTTCTCGACTGCAGCACACTGAATCCCTCACTCCCCCACTGAACCCTCAACCTTGAAGGATTTTGCATTTGCACTTATGACTGCCCAAGTTGCCTGCTTCCCCAACACGTAAACAACTTTAAATACCGTTTTACTTTGTCTTCTTGTTTACTAGATCCCGCCTTGTGTGAATTTGTGTTTCTTTAACTACTGATGAGATAGCACATTTTCCCACGTGTTTAGTCACTACTTGAATTTCCTCAACTGTTGAATGTTCTTGTGACTTGGGTAAGTTAACCCCGTCTTTTAAGACAGCACTGCCCACTCTGCAGTAAAGCCCGTTACTGTGTCCACCTTCCGTGGTTAAAAGAGTTCAGGTGAGTATCAAGGTAATTGTTGCAGTATGTTCGCTTATCTTTTTAACCCTTTCCCGTATACACTACATGAGTAAAATGATTTTTCAAGGCTCTTCATAATATGGCCAGTGCTCCTTTGCTACCTCACTGTCCCAACCCCTGTGATGCCTACCCTGTAACCCCATCAACTAGCGCAAAGGTCTGCCATGTAACGCATATTCAATCCACAGCAACAGATGACTAAATCGCTGCTGGGCTGCCTAGGTTCCTCGGGGGCTATTGTTCCGCCCAAGCGCTTTCACCTCAATTGCCCTACCTTACCTCTCCACCTACTCAGCCTTCTAGTTAGATGAGCACCCCCTCTATCTTGACACATACCTCCCTCCCTTGGCAGAAATGATCTCTTCTACCTCTCTACACTGTGTATATATCTATTATAGTTCTTATTATCTTCCATAACTGGTTGTGTTTCTGTTTCACTAGGGCCAATGTTAGGATCTTGAGGTACTTACTTTGCCTCTTGGACATTTAGCATGTCTCATGGTACTCAAAACAAATATGTTACAAGAGTACATAAATGAGTGAACAAATGAAGGTTTTTATGCCAGAAAAAGCAAATAAAAGCCATTCAAGTAAATGGAAGCTGTTGAAACCTGAACCAAGGTATCTGTTAGCGAGAACCAGGCTTTGGGACTGTTTGCCTCTCACTGAGGTCCATCAGCAAGCTGCGTGTGGTGTCCTGTGCTGCGGGGTAAGACGGAATGCTACGACAAGAAAGCTAAATGATCCCTGCTCACAAACAACTGTTTCGTAAAGAGATGAAAACATAAAAATGTAAGGGGAAAGCACATGAGGAGACGGTGTGTAACACCCTTAAGTGGTGCTTAGGAATTTGATTTATTCTTTATTTTGCTTCTTTTGTGACTTGTATGCTTAAGTCTCACTTATATTTTTTTAATTAATTGATTTATTTTGTTGTCATTAATCTACAATTACATGAAGAATATTATGTTTACTAGGGTCCCCCCCTTCACCAAATCCCCCCCACAAACCCCATTACAGTACTGTCCATCAGCGTAGTAAGATGCTGTAGAATCACTACTTGTCTTCTCTGTGTTGCACAGCCCTCCCCATGTCCCCGCACACACACATTATACATGCTAATCGTAATGTCCCCTTTCTTTTTCCCCACCCTTTTCCCTCCCTTCCCTCCCTTTCTCCCCAGTCCCTTTCCCTTTGGTAACTGTTA